TTTTTTTTTTTTTTTTTTTTTTTTATTATTATTATTATTATGCTAAGGTGAATAGTATTCTTCACTTATAAATCCATAATCTTCCACTAAATTAACCAATGTGGGACTTACTCCCAATAATCCTCAACAAGAAAGAGATAATGTTTTATGTTTTTCGTTAGTTATGTATTGAGTTATTATAAGTTCGTGATAGTATATGTACAGACTTTAGATTATGATACTTAAATTTTATTATTTTCTTTTTAACGAATTTGGATGTTTCGATTTTTTTATTTATTGTTTGTTAGTGGAAAACATTATTTAAAAATTTATATAGATTCATGGAGCATTAAATAATAATTTATAAAGACAAAATCATATCATAAATAATAATAATAAAAAAAGTTCTAATGATTGTTTGGCATTGACTAGATTGGAATCCTATATTATAAATTTAGAAAAATGTGAAGGTTATATATTAATGGTAAATCTATTATAAATAAATTACGATTGGCTAGAAATAAAATTTTAATATATTTTTTAATATTTTAAAATTAAGATCATACTAAAGAAAAATCTAAAAAGGGATGTTTTTAAAAAAAATTATTTTCAATTGAGTTGACAATAAATCGGCTACAAAAGGAATTAAAAAAAATAGTAATTCAATTCCTAAAATTGGTTTAACGTTTAAAATATGGTTTAAAAGAAAAAGAATTTTATATTACTTGTTTTCTTGTACGCAACTTGCTTTGGTAGCTGCCGACACAATAATATATATATATATATATAATATATATAATATAATGTCCACTATATATTAATTTTTTATTTTTAATGTTTTTGTGCTTTTATTAATGTTGGTTTATTTAGTGAAAGATTATAAGTTTTTAAATGAGGAATACTATCTTTATTGAAGTCTTTCGAGGAAGCCTAAAACATAGTCACGATAGCTTATGCTCAAAGTGAACAATATCATACCATTATAAAGAGTTATGTACAACTAACATGATATCAGAGTCATACCTTAAACTTAGTCATGTCATTGGTGTACAATGTGGATATATTTTAAACGGTTTAGTATTATATTATATTTTATATTTTATTGAAAAAGAAAATCCAGAGATGAAATGGGCCGCGAAGCTCAGAAACTTTTACCAAACGGCCCAGCCCGGGATTGAGAGAACAAAGCTTTGAAGGGTGGGGTTTCTTAAACAAATGTTAGAACTTTCCCTGTCGTCGTCACGGAAACATCGAACGAAGAGATGTGGCGCGCCATTGACGCCCATCTGAGGTCCGTACGCCTCCTTCCGAATCTCTTTGCTTATTCTTCGTCCTCGCCTCTGTTTTCCTCACGCAGTTCGTTTTTAGCTCGATCGAGTTCGACCTTTCTCTCGCCTGTACCGAAGCCTCACTCGATTACCCTCTCCAAAACCCTAGTGTTTTGTACTACCATTAACTGTTTATCGAGTGTTTCTTGTTCTGGCATTGGAATTCGACGCTTCGGTGCGTCGAGTTGCGGTGTGGTGGTGTTGGCAAGGTGCATTACCTCTTCGGTGCACACGTTGGAGTGGAATGTACCAGTTTCGTGTTCGGAGGTTGGAGAGGGAATTGGCGAGGGTGAAGCAGATGAAGTCGAGGAGGATTCTAGACCGTCTATTCCTGTCAGAGCTTATTTTATTTCCACTAGGTTGCAATTTCTTTCACTCTTTTGTTATTTTGGTGCTCGAGATGATCAATTGTGTTTGTTTTTTCATACAAAGAAAAGTAATTGAAATTTATCTTTACTGTGTTGCATTCCGGAAAGTGTTTGTGAATTTTGTTCCGAGAATTCTGTAATTCAATCGCAAGGTGGTGTCGTTTTGTTCTTCTTCTTTCCCTTCACCTCTTGCAGTTCTATATGACTATACTCATTTTTCATTATTTTTCAATGGTTCTGGAGTTTGTCTAGCGTGTAGCTTCAAAAAACTTTAAAAGGTAAACTAAGGATTTGCATGAAGTTTAAGTCCTCACAATGTGGGTTACAAACTTGTGTGTTTCTGATTTATTCTCCATTCCACATATTTTCTTTGATTCAGTGTGGATTTGAGAAGCTTGGTGGATCAAAATAAACGTAACTTTATCCCGCCATCATCACGTATGACGAATTATGTAGTCCTTAAGTTCGGGGATCTTTGTAATGTGAACGTAAGCTTGCTATCTAGTGGATCATCGTTCATGATTAGTTGAATGAGTACACTTTGAAGACCGTTCTTTTTTTGTTTCAGACTCTTGGCGCCAGCGTAAGCGGAAGTGACTTCTCTTACATGGTAGTTTTTCAGTATGGCTCCATTGTGCTGTTTAACATTCGTGAAGATGAGGTTGATGGGTATTTGAAAATTGTAGAGAAACATGCATCCGGATTGCTGCCTGAAATGAGAAAGGACGGTAAGAAATTCAAATGTATTTTTATACAAATTTGTTTCTACTGGAGTTATTATCATTGTTCTTATTGGTGACGGCTGTAGTGATATAAAACGCTAAGGATTCATTTATCTTTCCTTCATCGAACCATTTATAAGGAACAGCCTGTCTAAGTTGATTAGAATTGTAGGGTAGTTTCATAAAAATATCAATGAGAGGCACTTTGACTTGATGTAATATGCTATACACAATTTAAAAGTTTGTCAAAAGAATTATATATATCTTGAAAAGTAACACGTTGATTTATGTCCGCATCGACCAAAAGTAGTCCTGCTTTACTGCTCTCAGGTTCCTTTAAGTATGTCCCGTGCTATTTTGATAGTGTTTGTTACTTAAAAATACTTTTGTGTGGAAGTCTAGTGTCCTGAATTTGAAGCTGTTTGAGTTTGTAGAGTATGAGGTGAGAGAGAAGGCTGCCTTAAATACATGGATGGAAGGGGGACTGGACTACATAATGCTGCAGTACTTGAATATTGATGGCATACGTACCATAGGTAGTGTTCTTGGTCAGAGCATTGCTCTTGATTACTATGGACGACAGGTAGTTACCATATCTGACCAGACATTTTAATACCAATTAATGTTGATGATATTTGACATGATCCCACCATGCTCTTAACATTTTCTTCAAAGGTTGATGGGATGGTTGCTGAATTCACTGACATCAACCGTGAAATGGAAGCAACTGGGAAGTTCAAAATGAAGAGGAAGAAACTTTTCCAGTTGGTGGGGAAGGCAAATTCAAATCTTGCTGATGTCATTCTCAAGCTTGGGCTTTTTGAGAGGTAAGTTAGTTATTTCCTGATGTTTAATAGTTAGTTTGTTGTATGTATAGAATTATATTATGAAATCTGCACAAGAGACGATGTACTTTTAAATGATGGAGCAAGACGAAAAATAGCTGTTCAAGTGGTAATTTTGTGAGATCTCACATTGGTTGGGGAGAAGAACGAAATATTCTTTATAAGGGCGTGGAAATTTCTCCCTAGCAGACGCGTTTTAAAAACCTTGATAGGAAGCCCGAAAGGGAAAGCCTAGAAAGGACAATATCTGCTTGCAATAGGCTTGGACTGTTACAAATTTTGTGTTGTTTGTTTGCTTAGTTTGGCTCGTTTTAGTGCCCCTCTTGGCTTGTTATCTTGGACTTGTCATTTTATACAACTGTTGTTCTTTTCTACTTTCCACCATCTCAAAAGAAGAGGTTTCTGACATACTTTGCTAATACTTATTCCTTGGGTTATTTCTTGCGGATATTACACTGTTAAATCTTGAAAAACTGATGCTATTGTATTATCTGCGCATTTTTCAGTGAGCATACTGTTTCCCCTTTCGCTTATCCTGATTCCTGCATAGAATCTAAAGACATCTATTCGTTTTTGCGTTTTTCAGATCAGACATTGCGTGGAAGGATGCAAAATATGCTCAAATATGGGAATATCTTAGAGATGAGTTTGAGTTAACACAGAGGTTTGCTAGTCTGGATTTCAAATTGAAGTTTGTGGAGGTAGTACCATCTACTTGAGATGAAAATATACGTTCATCTTGTTTATGTATTCTTTGATAAGGATATAATTCATCCATCTTGAACTCCACTTTTTTTGTTTTTGTTTTTGTCAGCATAATATTCGCTTCCTACAGGAGATTCTGCAAAACAGGAAATCAGATTTTTTGGAATGGCTGATCATTGCACTGATAGGTGCAGAAATTTTACTCTCACTTTATGACATTATTCATAGATCAGCAGCTAATCTTTAGCACTGTTTGCTTCCTGATCGTTGGAGTTGGAACGGGGTTCGTACTTATATCGCGACTGCGATTTGTACAATGTGCATAGGTATGTATATTTGGATCATTCTGCTATACGACTCCGATAATTTTAACGAATTTTTGTTATCGGATTGCACTCTTAGGGTGCAGAGTGCTTATAGTTAAGAGTTCTACCATTCTTTGAAGAAATGGATCTCAGTTTTTTCTGTTTAGTTTCCTCCTACTGTTCAACATTCATTTGACTTGTAACAAAAGCTTAGAGTGCTTGTTTTTTCCTTTAACAGTGTTAGCAAGATGAACTTGGTTCACCAACTTAACCTGGTTCACCGACTTAACCAATCCAAAGTTTTAGATTAGATTGGTCAGAGTGTTCCAAACCAACTCAACTCATGTCGGCCCTATTTAATAATACTTGCTTGAATTGAAAAGGTTTACGATTGAATGATTAGCTTGAGTTCAAAATGTCTCAAACTGGTTAGGAAGGTTTACGATTGATTAATTTGAATAATTAGATTTACACTTTTTACTCTTAGATTTTTTATTAACTACTTACTTTTGATTTTGTTTTTAATTCCTATTAATTAATTGTCAAAATTAAATTAGTTTTTACTATTTTCTATCACTATTAAAATTAATTTGAAATTTTACATCCTAATTGTTTTAAATTAATGGAAGATAGAAGATGAATATTATAAAATATTGAAATCTAAGGTCAAATAAAAACTAAACATTTGAAAATTTAAGAATTAAATTGAAAAATGAAAACTAGTATAAAAGAACGTCAAAATGAGAATTTTTCCAAAAAAAAAAAAAGAAAAAGAAAATAAGTTGCCCAATTTATTTTATTTTAAAAAAAAGACTCATTTTCATATTTAAATTAACTTTTTTTTTTTTTTTTGAAGAGAGACAAATGGGCGATTGGCGGGGCGCCAAAAAAAAAAAAAAAAAAGAAAAAGAAAATAAGTTGCCCAATTTATTTTATTTTAAAAAAAAGACTCATTTTCATATTTAAATTAACTTTTTTTTTTTTTTTTGAAGAGAGACAAATGGGCGATTGGCGGGGCGCCAAAAAAAAAAAAAAAAAAGAAAAAGAAAATAAGTTGCCCAATTTATTTTATTTTAAAAAAAAGACTCATTTTCATATTTAAATTAACTTTTTTTTTTTTTTTTGAAGAGAGACAAATGGGCGATTGGCGGGGCGCCAAAAAAAAAAAAAAAAAAAAGAAAAAAGGAAAAAAAGAAAAGGTCGACGATTTGCGTTATTTAGTTTCCCTCGGTTCCTAGTGATCACATCGATCGAAGAAATGACAAGCTTCCGATTCTTGTTCAGCAATGGCGTCCTTTTGCAAGGCTCCGAAGCTCCTCCTGTCGCCACCTTCCTTGAAACTCATCCTGGTAACTCATATTTTGCTGCCTTTTGATTTGTGAGAAATGGTCGGCTGTATCTGTTAGGTGAAAGTCGAAATTAGTGTTTGGATTCTGAGGAAATTTTGCGTTTCCCCAATCCATTGTGTTTGTTGTCTGTAATAAGGAGAGCTATGGAGTCTAGGGAATCATCGGATAACCGTATGATATCTAACGTAATGATTTTTGACTCTTTGTTTTGGAGCGAAGTTACTTGGCTGAGCGATTTGATTATTTGAAAAACCGAGGGAGAGTCCTGTGTTAGGGATAGTTTTTCGCTGTTGTTGACTTGTTAATTTCAATTATTCCAGGCGCTTATACCACTACTCGGACCCATAACAATGCGTCGAGCATTCTGTTTTGGGATAGGCACATGAAAAGGCTGACTCAATCGGTAAAAATTCTATCAAATTCGACTCCACAACTCTTGTCTGAATCGAACAGAACAATCAATAAACTGGTAATACCGTCTCCGATTGATTCTATTCCTTGGGAACCAGCTATTCGAACGCTTGTCGATGATTCAATGAGAAAAGTGTTACCGATTGCACTAAATGAGAGAAATGGGGAAGAAGAATTGGCAGTTACAGTGCTTGTAAGCGTGAATTTGGAAAATTTGGGTGAAAGTGACGGTGTTGTGGATGTAGAAAGAGTTAAAGAGGCTGTTGGTGTGCACACGCATGTTGGTAATTATGTTCCTCGTGAATTTGGTGTCCCGGAAAATGGTGCAAATCTGGCCGTCGTGGGTCGAGGAAGGGATGCTGCTGCGGCAAAGTACTCGGATTGGGTTAGGTGAGAGTGCACAACTTTGATTGTTTGGATTGGACATAGTTCACTCTTACATTAGGAATAATGAAAGAGCAAGAAACAGTTCATATTTTGATTTGAACAGTTAGGAGGATCAAAACGAGTGGTTGGAATGAAGAGTAATTAGTTTCTCACCGGAACATGAATTATGAACAGTTTAAACTATGATTTTGGCTTTTTGTTTAAGAACTTTTTGGGTTATTCAATTCTATCTTTGTTGTTGTTTTGTTCTTTGTGAACTATATCAGGTGTAGGAAGTCTCTGGAAAAATTGAGGCCTCCTTCTGTGACTGAGCTTTTGTTGTCAAACGATGGTGATCAGATACTTGAAGGCTGCCTGACTAACTTTTTTGTTGTTTGCCGGAAGGTGATGCATCAATTTCTTTAAGCCAGTCTTTGAATAAGTTACTTTTGTTTGTAAATATTGACAGTATTTTCTTGTCCCCTGAAATTTTATGAGCATAAAGTGTTCTGTGGAAGTTTTTTACAGGCTAATAGTGAAGCTAAAGAAGCAAGCGTCCACGATTCTGCAAGTACACATTCCTTTGAACTGCAGACAGCTCCCATTAGCGACGGTGTTCTGACTGGAGTTATTCGTCAATTAGTTGTTGAGTATGTTCCTACCCGTTTCGAATCATCATATTATTGTTTCTTCTTTATTTTTTATTCACTCTCAGATTATAGGATGTAGTCTTTTTTTCCTGAAAGTGTGAGATATGAAGTCGGTTTCGATCTTGTTGATGTTATAAACATGAAATTATAGTTTAACTCAGACTTTTCAGTTTTAGTACGTGTACATTAGTCGAATGGGTTCGGTTGTCCACCAATTCGCAGTTTCAATATATTTAACCATCATTTTGGCTATAAAGAGCTTGACAAGGATTGTTTTATTCAAGAGATCGTTTTGTATGAATAGGCATCCAACGTTTTCTTGAAAAAGAACAAGAAACTTGTGCACTTGTATGTGTCAAGCACCAAGTAGGTGCTCTTTACAAAGGTTGGCCTTGCCCTACACCTTAGGTGAAAATCACCTAGGCATGCCTTTTAAATCAGTGGACAAGCTGTACTTCCAGGATTCTCTTAGTTAATTCAATTTGGAGATGAATTTAGTATGATATAGACAAACCAAGACATTGGAGATGAATTTTCAGAAACAAAAATTCGTGTAAAAGTAAAACAAGGGGTTACAATCATACAAAACATTAGCACTGCAGGAACTTCTTGTTTAGTTGTTTTCCAGATCTGAAGTGAACATGTTTTGTAGAGCTTGTTTAAGCATCGGCATTCCATTTCGAGAAGTTGCACCTACTTGGTCAAGTAATGAAATGTGGGAAGAAGCATTTGTTACAAGTAAGCTTGCTAGTTTTCCTTCTCTCATGGTTTACTTGCTTTTGCGCTTTTGGCTCTTTAAATAGTGTTTTTTTCCCTCTTAGCGACATGCCGAAGAGTAACGAGGAGGCTCATTAACTTGATTGATTATCATTAGCTGCCTCTTGTTTCGTTATAAAGTTTATTCACATCTTCATTCAGATATTCATAACTGTTTTTTTCTTCTTGTTACTGTTCTGGAGGTACATTTTTACAAGAAAGTGCATCCATTATTTCTCTTGCAATTCATCATCACCATTTCACGTTTCCTTTGAACTGTAGAAGCATCGATATCTTCGTAAAGTTTGAGAAGTTTTACTTCGTATACTTTTGGGAGTTTGAAGTCTTCTACATGTTTGGCAGATAGCTTGAGAGTCATGGAGCACGTGAATACTATTTGCATGCCTAACATATGGGACTTACTCGAGTCGAAAACATGGCGTGAGATATCATGGAACAAAAAGTCGTTTAAGGTTCATAAAAGTTTCAATGCTTTAAGAACAAAACAAACTTCCCTTTTCTATGGCTTTATGTATTATTGCTTCTGCGATTCTTGTCTGAATTCTTCTGTGAATCTGATTAATACAGGATGCTCCTGGAATGATCACAAGCACAATCCAGGTAAAACAATTGGCAGTTGCCTATTTGGGATGTTTGGCTTCTAATCCCGCTATTCAGTAGTGATTTTAAAATAGTTAAAATCATTTTTTTCAAGATTACTGTGAAGCATACATTATCGAGTTCGATCGTAAGCAAGGATTAAACCGATTTTAAATATTGAAAACATGGTTTGAAGTGATTTCCAACATAACAAAATCAACATTACACTAATTTGTGAGTCAAACACTGTCTGTAGAACTTTGGTGAACTAACCCAAACAATTTTTGTGATTGTATTTGGAGCAGAAAGAGATAATGAAGAAAGTTGTTGAGGAAGCATTCCCGATTGGTTACTACTACGTATAAAAGGTGCTATAAACAACAACTCTTTTTAGATCAAAATATGATGAATTGTATGCATTTTAGTTTAAATGTATGAAATGCTATGAGTTTAGTCATATGGTTGTAAATTGTAAATATAATTAGCAGCAAATTAAGAGGCATATGCAATGCATAAACTACTACATCCATTCATAGAGACCCAAATTTACTTGTATGCATGTTTGTTTCTAAACCCATTTTAATACCCAGTTTAGCAAAGCATCATAGTTTAGTTTATAAAAGTTATGGTTTAGCAAAGCCCTTAACATTTATTATTTAAAATTTAAAATTTTCCATTTTAATAAAAGTGTCTACTTTCTACTCAAAATCATTTAATTCATATTTTAAAAAACATGCAAAAATCCAAATTTGTGATTTTGTATGAATATTTATGAATTAAGTAAATAGGCAAGAGACCGAATAAACTGATCATACAATGTTTACGAACTAAAATGAAAATAATAATTAGGAAAAGAAAAGAAAAAGTAAAATAAAGAATTTCCAAAATTAGTTAAAAAAGGAAAGCAACGGGTGTCCATAAAAAAAGAAAGCTCCTTTGCCGTCTTTTCTGTGCGTCTCCTCTCTCCAGCGTCCGATCTTCGTTTTTTCTGATCAAAAAAAAAAAAAAAACGAGGAAATCCTCGAACAAAGTCTCCTTCCTCTGAGTGCAGCGCGCCAAATACAAAATTGTCCTCTTTCACTCATCTCTGTCAGGTACCATTCTCTCTCAATTCTCTTCCATGCCAGACTTAGGGTTACACGTATGCTTCTTCTTCTCTTCTTCTTCTTCTTCTTCTTCTTCTTCTTCTTCACATCTTCCCTTTTCACACTTGTTTTCTTTCGCTCTTGCTGTTTTGCTCTTCATTGATTCAGAATCTTGCTGATATGGCGGAGCCTCCCACCAGTCCGCCCGGTGGCAGTCACGAGAGCGGCGGCGAGCAGAGCCCCATCACTGGTGGTGCTCGCGAACAGGACCGATTTCTTCCGATCGCTAACATTAGTCGGATCATGAAGAAGGCCTTGCCTGCTAATGGCAAGATCGCTAAAGACGCTAAGGATACTGTCCAGGAATGCGTCTCCGAGTTCATTAGCTTCGTCACTAGCGAGTGCGTTTTTTTTTTTTTTTTTTTTTTTCTTTCTTTTAATCTGTTTTCGGATCGTGATTTCTGGTGTTTTAGTGTCGACTGGACTGTTTTGTTTTGTTTTGTTTTTTGTGTAGGGCGAGTGACAAGTGCCAGAAGGAAAAGAGGAAGACTATTAATGGCGATGATTTGCTTTGGGCAATGGCGACGTTGGGATTCGAGGAATATATTGATCCGCTTAAGTCGTACCTTACTAGGTACAGAGAGGTAAAATTGTTTCTAATTTTCAGCTTCTTTTTTTGTTTTATGTTTTCTTGCACCTCTCATTTAGACTTAATTGTACACGGACATCACTTATGCGGATTATTGTGGACGTTCATGACTATAGCAATTAGAGCTCTTCTCGCACTTTCGATTACTTTTAGTGATTGAGATTTGAGAGTGCTTCAACTGGTGGACGAGTGCTTAAAACTTTTCGCTGTTGATCAGTAAATGCTTGTATCCTGACGTTTTGAATGAATTTGGTCTGTTACGTTCTTTGTGCGGGTATATAATTTGTTTGACCTCATCACTATGATGTGCTCACATTTGTTTTCTTTTTTCCTTCACTTTTTTTGGTGGGGGCAATGGTGTTGCTTCAGTTGGAGGTAATTGAAACCTGCTCTTAAACCTTGTATTATAGTGTTTATTGTATCCCCCTAATCTGAGCTTTCTTTGAGAGAAAAGTATGGCTAAGCATTTCTGGTTAAATGCAAACTTTTCCAGTGTGATGCTAAAGGATCTTCTAGGGGCGGTGACGAATCTGCTAAAAGAGATGCAGTTGGGGCCATGCCTGGTCAAAATTCCCAGGTTTAGTTACTTTTCGTAGAATCTTTGTTTACAGAAATTCTTTTTATCATCATGGACACATGAATTGATTTTTTTTTCCCCCTTTATATGTAATCAGACCTTGATTTTGGTTGAACTATATGTGCAGCAATACATGCAGTCGGGAGCGTTGACTTACATTAACACCCAAGTAATAATCTCTCTTCTCTCAACTTGTCAACATGCTGTTCAGGAACGCCCTCTTTTTCATTGCTAATAATTGGGTTGAAATTTGTAGCTGTTATACACTTGTTATTACCAGCATTGTCTTTAATTGTTGAATGTTGCTTAGAAGATGGACCCATTATTCTTTTTCCCTTAAAAATATATATCCTACCTGTTTTTTTATTTTTTTATTTTTTTATTTTTATAATTATTATAACATTTGCTTGTCATATGAAGTTAGCTTGTCTCGTAGGATTTCATCCTAGGTGGTAGGTGGCCAACATATGGAGATTGAATCCATTCCCCAAAGTCTATTTTGTTTTTTCCACATGCTCAATGTCACCAAGCCAACCATTGGTAGATGATATATTATTAAAGAAAAGAACTTTATTATTCTACCTTTCAAACATCCCATAGTCAAGAAAAAAATTATACACAATTTTTTTCCTTGGAGGAATTTTTAGACATTTAAATTTTCCCTACAGTATCATTGTTCAGAAAAGAAGACTTCATGATCTCAAAAAAGGAAAAAAAAAAAGAAAGAAAGAAATCTGTATGAAGATACTTTTCATTTGGAACAATGTCCTACATCTAGTTTGAGATTATTTGAGATCTTGGGAACGCTGAGCTTGAAATTCCACTATTTATAACGATGTAAATATCTATATAACACTTCTTTTTTCCCTTGAATTTTCTATAGCTGTTCCTTGCCTGCTTGATCTAAATGCTTCACAATTGAGGAAGTTTTAATTGAAGAATGGGACAGTATTCTATCTAACATTTCTTGAATGTGATAGTTATTGGCTTGTCATTTTTTGAAATAATGCCTAATACTACTTTTTATTGGCCTTTCATTGTTCTGCTTTCTTAGTTTTCTAGGAGGAAAAGAAAATGAATTGCATTAGTTTTGTTGCTACTTGTCATAATAGGTTTTTGTGTGAGAAGCATGTTTACCTCTTACGTTGATTCACTGCACTCTTTAGAACAGGAAGTAGTATGAATTGTACTATTTTCGCTATTTGTCCTAGTATAGGAAGATATGCCTGTTTACCTGTCACATAGATTTCTAGTTGCAATGAAATATCTATGCAAGATGTTCTTCCCTGTAGTTGGTCATATCATAATTTCTTCTTTATGCAAGGATATTAAATCTTTTAATAAGGCCATGAAGATTTTTGAGTTAGGGCGGTTGTGTAACTTTGTTTTCATAATTGTGGTTAAATGTTTAGTTTTGGTTAAATTGGCGTTAATGTTTTTTTAAAAAAAAAATATATATATTTTGCTATACAATATGACTTCCAATTTAGCAAAATGAAAAAATATATATATATATATATATATATATATATATATATATATATATATGGGTTACAAAAGTTGGAAGGATTTAATCCCTAAATTCATTCCAAATATATTAATAGAACTATCAAAAGAGCTCTAATTATAACTAATTCCACCAACCACTAGTAATCACAAATCGTTGAATGTTGCAAGACTTAAATATGGACCTCTACAAGGAGAATAAATTATTAGGAGCAGCTACCACGCTGAGGTTGTTACTCACATGAACATCAATTTTTGATTTGATGTCTCATTGATGCAGTGATTATTAATTATGATAACATAATCTGCCTTTACTAACTTTGAGCTTGGTTGTTTGAAGAACCAGGTGTCCTAAAGGTTATTGAGTACAAATCTTCATGGCGGCATATATGAACGAATGTCTTACGATCTCCTTGTTTTTTTTTTTAATACTAAAAATTGTGCGGTCTGCACAGTAACCCCTTATTAAAATTGGTGGAAATCTGTAGATCGTCAGTATTGAAATGGGTTAGAATGAAAAGAAGTGTTGAAACATGAAATTTTAGTGGGATTTTTATTTTTAGCATTTTATGCTCATTTAAACTTTCGACAAGATCTTTAAATTGAGTAACAAGTAGTTGATCGTCAATTTTCTCTTTTATTTGATTGAGATTTAAGCCCTTCCCAACTATCTACTGTGGATCAAAAAGTTGCCTTTACACCGGTAGTTTTGGATTACGAAATGTGTTTTGCTGGTTTTGAATTCTTAATGCAGTCTGAGGTGTCTACGTGAGGGTAACTCAAATGTTAATTTTAATTTGGCTGTTTGATTCTTTTGCTTATTGGTACATTATAGTTGAGCAAATGGTTGTTTGTTTCCTCTATTGCAAATGCACAGCATTGATATCCATCTACCTATATCTATATATATGTCTCTAAAAAAATTGTTTTATTGAGGTTAGTTGTCTGATAAATGTTTTGGCTGACTCTATTATTATTTTCCGGCACCCTATGTTTTGCAGGGACAGCATTTGATCATTCCTTCAATGCAGAATAATGAATAGGAGTCACCTGCATCCCACTTGGATTGCCTGAAATCTGAGGCTGGTAGAAGCGTTCAACGCCTATATAGCATCTTTACAATCGATTTGGCTAATTTATTATGATATGAGATGATATTGTAATCTATATTTTTGTGGTTTCTGTGTTGGTTCTGATTTGATTTTGGTTTGGGCTTTAAGGTGGGCTTCGATTTTATTGATGCTCTCGTCAGCTAAAGTTGTAAAATTAGGGACCTTCAATTTAGTATAGTTGCTTCAGTAATTTGAAAACTGGAAATCTTATTCTCTTTCCAACATCTGTTGCTTTTGCTTTAATGACACTGGTTTCGAATGACTAAGAAAGTGCTACATGTATCCTCTCCTTCCCTTTTACCATGAATTTGTCTTCTCTCTCTCTCTCTCTCTCTCTACATACAAATCTGTTGGCTGATATTTCATAATGCATATATATTCTGTTGGCTAATATTTCATCCGAATGCTTGACTGGAATCTGACTGTAGGTCAACTGCAAGTTTCTTTGACTTGGAGGGACAGATGGGGCGCTGTTGGTGGACACTGCAATCTTCTTAGCAAGCATCTTGCTCGGGTCCCCCAATCCCAACCCAACAAATATTGAGGGAAGGAAAGCAAACCAATCAAAGCAGCTCAGCGATTCTCCATCCTTAAAACAACTTTGGTAAGATCATATCATGCTTCACTTCCTCTTAACTAAAAGATCTGTGATTTGATTCTCAAGGCAATCAATATATATATGAACTAGCATGTTTTATTCAGGTTCTGAATAAGAGATTTTGGCCGAAGAGACTGTCAATTCAAAATAAAATAGTAGCTTATATATTGGATTTGAAATAGTATATGTAGGTTACCATTACCATTAGGGTTTACTTCAGTCAGTGAACCATTAAGAAAATTGAGGCATTTGATAAATGAAGGTGCATGATGTTTTAACTTATCTGGAAGTGGAAGCATGGTTAGTTATTATTATCTGTAGTACTGTGCAAGAAGAAGCAGGAGCACGTGGTGGACATAAATCACCAGGCTAGAAGTCACATGACTAGCACGTGATCTGAGATCACAGTCAGAGAAACATTATAGTGGTACCCTTCTCTCTTTCTCTCTTT